ATTTTGGTTAGTTTGGCCTATCGTGCTTACCTGGGCTGAACTTATTCCCCGATGTGAGGATGCGCCTCCCACTGATGATCTTTAATTGTCAGTGCTTCACCCACCTAACGTTCGTCTCACCTCTTGTTTCAATTACTTATAACGTTTACAAGTGGCTCATTTTCTTGCTTTATGGAAGCAGTGAGCTCGAGAGGATTTTAACAAAAAATACCCCTGGTTTTGCGAGAACTATCCGGATAGGTTTGCGCATAATTTTTCTCTGATGTAATTAGAGAGGTCGTCTCAACTTTCTGACAATATCATGATTCGCGACGGGCTATATTCTCTTCCGCTCCCGAAATATGTTACTTTGGTTTTCCATGAAGAATGTGTGTCAAATTCCGAGTAACTCATCCTTATTGGTGAATGCCTTAGGCTGACTGCTGACTTTAAAAAGTCTGTGATTCAGATCCGCGGCTATCATACTCTGATTGCGAAAGCTGATGCTTTAAGAAATTCACGTTTTAATATCGACAATGAGTCACATGTGGTCTTATTGCGAGACGTTAGGAATCAATAAATTCTCATACAAACGCTTAGATTTGGGATGCTATAGTGTCTGATGAGCCGTTCTCGCTGAAAAGCAGAAGGTGGTCCGATATTGGCTTCCAGGGCACCTGCCCAGCAACGGATTTCCGGGGCATGGGTGAACTTGGAGCAGAAAATTTTCGGTTAGTTCCAAATAACTCTCAATCCCTTACTTGGTCAGCTGCTCATCTTTTGTACTCCGATAGGTATTTCGTCAAATACCATAAAAAACTGGCCCTCGAGATTTACTGCTCTTCGTTGCATCCTCAACGCTGGTACGTTGGACCGCCACCCATTTGACTTAGTTTTGTTGAAATCTCAATCGAATGCTTTCTGTAGGTATCCATTTGCAACTGTCAGCATAAATCTCACTGGTTTGCTGTGGCGTCTCCTTCGGGATGGGACTCTTAAGACACACTTTTACAACTCACTCAAGGGCGCTCCAAGATTAGTCCATCTGCACCTCGTCTACGGTCAGTTTTCAACGTCCCAGAGTATTTGCCATCGAACCCAATCTTGACATCTCCATCAAAATTTTAGTCTGTCTTTTTGCGAAATTCAACGAATTCTGGAGTCAACAACCCCGAGACGTCATGCTTTTCAACGCCTACCTGGACATATTCGAAGAGGCT